AAAAGTGCGCGCGATATTTAATGAGGCATGGCGCGTAAAACGCATCACTCTTTACCCGAACGAAATTTTGATCGAAATTTCATTTAGTCGATAACTGAGCGTTAATAACGAGGCCCTAGAAATTAGTTGGCGCAGCATCGCCGCGGCAATTCAATTGGCTGGCGCAAAGCCATCGTTGCCCCCATCGATTTCGATGTAATTATAAACTCACGTTGAGCGATACGATCGCGCCGTATGAAAATTGCACGAGAACGATATTTCTTCTATCTCGCGCAATAATCGTCCGGATTCTCGATTTTACACATATACGGTTAATTACGCGCGGCCATAATTTGTAATTACGATTTTCTACACGGAAAGGATATAGTTTTATTGAAGTGTCGAAAATTTTAGCTGAATACAGATTTGAAAATAATCATGTCGAATTATCAAAATAATTAGTGGGACGCTCGAATTGATTGCTGAATGTCAAAACGTTTTGCAACATTGCTCCATTCTATTTGATTTTCCTCCCAGCGAGAAATGACTATCAATTAGACGTCGAATCAATGTCGATTCGACATCAATTCGATATCATTTCTTGCTGGGCTTCGTAATTATTTTGATGGTTCAATAAAATTATTTTCAGATCTATATGTAGCTAAAATTTTAGATACATCAGCAAAATTGTTCTTTTCGTGTACTAAATATTTATACATATATTCTAAATGATTCCAAATATGATGCCTTTTGCATATATTTATTTCATAATTATCATACGTGACGATGAACCCTTTGTGAAGATGCTGAATATAAGTACGTATTCCTATAATCTATGTTTAGCACGTTTTTAATTAAAACATTTTTTTAATAATATTCAGATTTCTCCATCTTTTATGTTAACTGTCCATGACAACTTATTTCCATTGTCTTCATATTTTGAAGATAAAGTTCTGCAGTTCTTCGGTTTTTGTGATTTGCTTATTTAAAAATAGCTAAAAGCGCTTGTTTTAGTTTTCTTTTCTTTATCTAGGAAACGGTGTCACAGGTGGGAGATAAAAACAACTCTTCGATTATTGTGCTTGCTTGGTATCGCTTGGTGCTGCCACCTTCGCGGTCAGAAGCAGCCGCGTTACGAGAAATCGATAGAGCCCGGTCGCATTTAAATTTCAAGTCAGTTTGCAAATAAATTAATTATAAATGTCTCTAAGCCTCCCGACGGAATTGATGCATTCTATGACTGGCATGATGAATGGAGTTGAATTGTTATACATCGACACGCAGTTTGAATATGACTGAGTCCCTCATTTTTCGTTGTGGATGGCTCCGTAAATTCAATTTATTATGACTGAATACGGAAGAAAATATTCTATTTCGCGTTATTAAATCAAGCGATAGATTCAGAAGAAATTTTCCGACTGAAAGAAAATGTCTGAAACAACATATTCTATTTTTGAAAGATTTGTATGATGACAAGATGTATATGATGAATGGCAGAAGTGTTGTTGCTATAATTCAGTAGACCGTGCATTAACATGAAACATAGTTGAAGTGGCGCGAGAATATCCAATTTTTCTTCGTTATGTGTGATTTATTCGAGTCGAAATTATTCAAGAATTTTTCGCCATTCTGCATAATCCGATTACGAGTTGATTGCAATGCGAAAAAGCTTGCAAAGCTATGGCTTTTAATTTTTTATGACCGTATACATTTTTCTGGACTGCTATATATAATATGATTTAATAAATTTTAATCAATACAAAGTTAGATTTATAAATACATACAATTACATAGACTTACGTTAAAATTTCTATAATTATGTCTTTTATGTATATCTAGCAGTTCAATAAAATCGTTCTACTTTTACACAAGACAGATATTACTACAGAGTCGTTGCAATTTAACTTAACTAATATTCTGTTTATGCACATCAACAAATATTCTTAAAGCAAATTAAATTAAATTAAATTAATTAATTTATAATAATGAAATTTTCCTTTAACGTTTCTTCATTCTGAAAATAGGCATCGATATCGATTCGGCCAGTTTCTTTACATCTGTACGCTGATTTTTCTTACTTACATCCGGCGACCTTGACGATAGAGGTAAAATCGATTTCCAAACGACAGGAATGCACTTTCTACGATCTTTTGCAATTCCAAGGAGCGGGAGTTCCGTTCTGTCTAAGGAGAACCACTGCAACCTGACATCAATACGGACAAGCCTTCGGCGATTTTTATCGATGCGATTTTCTTCTCACGGTGTTCCTATAGTATAACGATCTAACCGACCACACACGCTCGGTAAATGCCTCGCCTCACCGTGCGCCAATTAATGTGCCCGGAATGCACACTGATTGCGAGTACCATGCTCTGCAGCTCAAACGGCAAGTGCATTATATCGGCAGAAAGATAGACGCACTGGTGCAGCCTTTTAGCATTAATGGATTGAAATTTGCTTTATGCGCCGCTTTAACAAGGGAACAGGGAAACCTGTGATATTTACCCAATAGGTTACCATTGCTGCCGTTTCACAAAGTGAATCGCATTTAATACTGTCCTCCGGCAAAGTGAGACTAACCGTAAAGTGTATTAACTTGGAACACACGTACTTCGGAAGACGTACTTGGTAAATGACGAAGTTACAACGTTTACGAGATTTCCTACCTTCATTTTTCCTCGGAATTACCGGTGTGGTGGAAAAGAAACTCGAGTCTAGTTCTAGTTCGGCCATTTCCCAAGCTGGGTTCTGGATTATCAAACTTTATATAGTATTTAACTTGGTATATAACTTTACTGACATAAAGTTGACTTAAATTAAGAATTAAAATCTGAATAATTTTACCGAGAGTATTTTTGTATCTTTCGCGAGGAGAACAAAATTGAAAGTTAGACGATTTTAAATGGTATTTGTTTTTAAAGAAAGTATTTTTTTAAAAACGAATATCGTCATATTGAAATTATCTAATTTCTTACCTTCTTCCTGTGCAAAAAAAAAGTGCTTGAACTTTATTTTACTTTATTCAAATTTCTTATTAGAAAAATATTTCCGCAATGCTTTCCGATGATTCTCTATCTTCTCGAACACGCAAATCTCCCGTACGCGAAACATTAAAATGCATATAAATGCGCACATATAAATGCGCGATTGAAAAAAAAAAAAAAAAAAAAAAGAAAAAAAAGTCGAACCGCAAACACTACGAAGAGATAATGACAAATGCCCGTGCAAATGGCTCGCGCCGGCGAGATAAAAGTAAGATAAAGGTAAACGGCCGGTCGGGAAAGGCGCGTGGCGCGGAACGTGGTGCACCACGATATACCATTTCCGAGGCCGCTTTTTTTTTCCCGCGAGTAACGCACCCGATCTCACGAAGGGGTCACGCTCTAGTTCGCTCGGCCTTTCGCTTTCCACTTGCCGCTCAGGCACTGGAAGCGGGGCCCACGCATTAATTGTCAATTACCTTGCCGTAAAACCGAATTCGCGTTGGCCGTTTTAACGCTCCCAACCCCAGGAGATAAAGCCTTCCGCGTTACGTGCGCGGATATGACGCTATTGTGCCGGTTAGTTCGTAACAATAGTTACGTTTTAATCTGCGCGCCGATCGTAGCTGCGGCCGCTCGCGCTGTTTATATTTCTGTTCCGAATGGATACAAGCTGACAATTATCGGCGATGACGCACAATGTAGTTTTTCTACATATTTATTTATTTTTATTTTATTTTATTTTTTTAATAAAATAAAAGATTCACTTGAGATGCGCATCACACCGAGAGTTGCATAGTAATAGAGATATCGTGGCGTACGATCGTAATGAGAACGGAAAAAGTAACGTGAGCTGTGGGAGTACCCAGTGCGTAGGAAAAATAAGTATGTTATAACGGTAAATTCCGCGAAGATTAGACCGTTTCCACTTTACTTTCCTTCCGTTAATTTTTCGTTCGTCATTCGTTTCTTGTTTAATGTAGGCGGCAATTTATGCTATTTTCGTACAAAGATGTAAAATGTAAAAATTTCGACTATCATTCATGAACAAGTGTTATTTTCTATATTAAATAATATACTTTACTTTCCATCTATTAGTCTTTTTGGCTATTTTAGTTTTTTTCTGGCTCTTTTTTTTTTCGCAACAATTTACGCTACTTGTACAAAAATCCAAAAATGTTGACAGCCATTCGAGAATAGACACACATTATTTTATAAATTAAATACATATGCACGCCGATTTTATCGTATCCTAGACAGATTTATCTCTACTTTTATCTTATGCAGAATGCACAATATTAAGAATGATATCTTACGGAGGTGAGGTAAGCAGATTTTATTCAATGTTAACGTCAGATAAGCCTGACGTCGCTAGAGGTAGAGGCTCTTGCAAAATCGTCGCGCTTCCGGACTCTCCTTTCCGGAAGAGGTGAACTGACCGGGTGGTTAAGTATGATGACACGAGAAAAGATAGATTGGACGAATGGAATGACGGAGCGGCGTTCCGCTGTTTTTATGAGATAAAATTCGCCTAAAGCGACTGCGTGACCAGAGACGCTCTTCAAGCAGCAACCGTCACCTCCTCATCTCTTCTCTCGGGATCTCATGCTCCTAGAGATGTTCGCGTGCACGTTATAGGCCCGGCAACGTGCGTTTCGCAACGCGCATCTGAAAACACCACCGTTTCCCAAGACGTTTCAACGTGGGCTAACCGCCGGGATCTCCATCGTAACAATGACGAGCAGCGTTCGATGTTTTATTTGCGATAACGGTCTACCTCGTCGCGCACGGTGGCGTCCCGAATGTACGTATCCTGCACGCTCGTTTGCCAATACAGATGTAAGATTAACGGTTCGTAAGGCGAAGTAATTAGAAGCCTTTAGCTACGGCGCGGCTTCAACGCTCTTGAAAGCGACGATGAAAATTTCGTAAGCTCGCAATTAAGTCCGAGAAGCATAGAAATTTCCGGGGATTTGAATGGACCCCTCTCTTACAAAAGGCCACCTAAAATTTCCACGTAAAAACGGCGAGGTAGGACTTATAAAGACTTCTACTTGGATGGGATAGAAATAGCGACGATATTTTACGGCACGAGAGAGAGAGAGAGAGAGAGAGAGAGAGAGAGAGAGAGAGAGAGAGAGAGAGAGAGAGAGAGATTATTTTACGACGTAATAACGTAAGCCTTACAATTAGTCTACTTACGTTCACTGATATGTTTCATCCAATTCCTTGGAAGAATTACGTAAAGCGCAATTCTCTTTCATTCAACGATGACATAAGAACACGGGATGGGGCATGAGAAAAATGAGGGTGATTTTCGTCAATGACGCGCGTCATTCATGCACACAACCGCAATATCGGATTACATAGGGAATGTGTTAACGAGCAAGTAACAGGCTACGTCGACGATAAGCCTGTCATGAATTATTCGAGGATCATAGATAATTCGTGGCTAGTTAGCTTGAGAAGTTTTCTTCTCGAACGGAGCACTTTCACTATGTGAACACGGCGGGTCTCGTTGCGACAAAATGCTACGTAAACGGGACTTAATGTTACTCGTTACCGGAAAGCTCGCTTATTATAGAAAAGTGAAAGGGGGAGGCATACATATATACGTGCATAAGAAAATGTCAAGTGGCACAAGGAATTCGATAATACTCGACGCGATCGAGCGAGTATTGCGTATGTAAGTCCAAATATCTTTCTATCAATCAAAATAAGATAATTATTTCTGACGAAGTAAAAAAATAAAAATATTTATTGTACTTTGTTGTGATTTGATATTAAATAAGTTTTCATTTATTGATCTTATATATATTTCGTCACGCAACACGTTTCATGATAACTCCCGAAACTCGATAAAGTGTTTTTAATAAACATGTGCGCGATGTTTACGCATGACTTGCAATTTACTGGTTCTGTAAATTGAAACACATTTGTGTTATCAAAATCTGACGGTTGTTTAACTTGATGGCTAAAGCGAGTTGTATGTGAAACGCGATGTTACAGTTTGGGAGAACTTCCTGATCAAATAGACCGGTCCCCTGCGGTGTACATGTTAGATCGATAACGGAATATCACGGTTATAATTTATGCAAATGTCATTATTATATCATATGTCGCCTTCCTACTTAACGTCGATTACCGAGTACGTTAACTTATTTAATTGTGGCGCATATTAGAGAAAATCGAAGGGCCATTGAAATTATTTAAATTTATTAATAAGTTTTTTTTTACATCATTTAACCTAGAAGTAATTGCTTCATTTTTGTACGTAAACGATCACATGGTTTAACACCCTAATTAGAATCGTTGTTATTAATAACGTATTACAGCTCAGCAAACAGGCTGACGTTATTTGTCATCAGTTCACATCAAAATGACGACAAATAATGTCAGTTTGTTTGTTGGGATGTTATTGATTTATTGAGAACATTATGAATATGATGAATAATCCATATTTACTCGTAATTTTCCGAAAGAGATAAGTAGAAACCAGACAAATATCAACGGAATAATTACATTAAGTAATTCATTATAACAATATTTCTCAAAATAAAGATTTTAATTTTACATAATGCTTTTTCATTGCAGATTTTTGAAATTATATATTTAAAGGTTCGTAAAGGAATATAATTATTTAAAAAATAACATAAAATATGTAAAAATAAAAAATGTCCAAAAAGATAGAAAATAATAATTTTATAATAATTCATATTTTCTCGCCACTAGAATATCAAATTTCTTCTCCACTCTCCCCCTCCCCCCCCTCAGATAATTATTTCTGGATTAGTTAATAACAAATTTACAGAATAAAAAAATGTAAGAGAACACGTGGCGGACGTCGTGCGAGAAATCTCAATCATAGGAAAGAAGATTTCGTATCCGTTTACGATCTGATAACAAGTAACACATGCAGGATACTTATAATCTGCTGCATGCTCATCTTAATTAGCTTTCAGTCTCTCGCACGTGTGTACTTCGTTATCAAATATCATTCGATAGATGCAACTCGTCTGCGTTATTGCGAATTCGTGAGATTCAACGCGCTGTCTTACACATATAATCACTACTATTATTTTAACAACACGCATAAAAACAGATACGACTGTATAAAAATTCAGGAAAAATTGTCTATCACTGTTAGACAACTAAAAGAGCAATGGTAACTTAATTCCTTGAGTTAAACAACATTTTATTTACTTTTAACTTCCATATCTGTCAAAATATCAATCCATCTTTGTGATTAATTTCCAAATAAACAACGTCCATATTAATGTATCCACTTAGTAAATAATAAATTAAATTCAAGTCAAACTTAATACATTTTTTTGAGTTAGAGTTCTGTTCTCTTTCGTTTTGATTAAATTTATAACATATTAAGTAGGAGCAGTAGCGACTTATAAAAATGATTAAAAATAACTCAAGTTGGATATAATTTTATGAATTTAACAGGTACTCGGTATCTGGGAACAATAAAAATCGAAGAACAATTAAAATACTTCAATACATTAGGCGACAATAGGATCCTGATATCATTTTCTAATTTAAATTCTGTCGATCGAGATTATATCGATCGATTACGAACAATGACAGCATTTTCATAGCAATTATACAGACAGCTATTATCAAGCGGTGAAATTAATTTAATGCCGCATAACGTCATCGCGAATTATACAAAACACATAATACGTACGAGTATGTGCAGACTGGAAAATAATCGGACAGTTGTATCTGATGCAATTACAATTTGGAACAACGTGATTAATTACCCTCACTACGCACTTGGCTTTATTATTCAACAAATGTGCCTGTGGTTACGTGAAAATGCGCAATAATACAAATGTATTTACGACGTCAATATTTATTCGACGTTGTTATGAGAAACCACTGTTTTGAGCCACAGGGACATATAATAAATGTATAGCAATGGCGAAATAAACAATTGTAAATGAAATTTAGACTATAAGAATAAATATTAAATAAGAAAAAGAATTTGATTATTTTTTTTAATCAAAGCGAAACTGATGCCTCATAATGTCGATATGAAAATTTGCAAATATATATTTTTGAGTTCTACAAACTGCATGCCAATTCTGTTTTATCGTATTTGAAACGCAATCGTAAACTGAAGCTGGAAATAACATCACAAATTATATTGATCGTCAATTTAATAATACTAATGAATCTCTTAAAACACTGCAAGGAACTTATTGCGAAAAATATCACTTGAACCAAAATTCGAATCTAGATTTTTTTTATTCCGTACGAGTGTTATCAATTCTAGTTGTCATTTTCAGCTTTTATATAGTTTATGACTGCGTTTCCAATTATTCGACAAACCGAATCGGTGCAGTTTATAAAACAAATGTATTTGCAAATTTTTATATAAATATTATCAAGTACTAATATCTGCTTTGACTGAAAAATATAATTTTTTTCTTTTTATTAAAAAAAAAAAAATTAAATTAAATTAAATTAAATGCTGCATCTTTCGTAAATATTTTCAGCGTAGAAAACAATTGAGAGACCATCGCGTGTTCAGTCATTAATCGGCGTTGTTTTCCGAACTTATTCAATAAATAATGTAATCTAATTTTAAGTTACAAAGCAGTCAAGAGAAAGTAGATGATACGTATCAGTGCACGTACATTCGTATACTTGAATATCTGATATGCGTGAGAGGAAGACGAGTTTCTTGCTTGCTTAAAAGTATTCGACGTTTATATTTCTGGTTTTCTCGAAATGTGCTCGTAGAAGAGAGGAGGGGAGGTGTCCAGATGAATGATTCCAGCATTGATAATGACGTTGCCTTGCTGACTGGCTTTCTAGGTATGACGGGATGTAGCACGCGAGGCGTGTTTCATAGAAATAAGAAGTCCCAACGGGGTCGACATGCGCTCGTTGTCGACGTGGGTAAAAGTAAATGACGATATGCCCGACGACGAAATACATACCTGCGGACACTTTCGATGTCGTGACGCATCGAGAGTAGCCGCGTAATGACGAAATCGTCGAGAGCAAGTGGCCGTGCGAGGGTGGGAGTGAACGATCTAGCTTTCATGTAGAAAGAGTGAAAGATTTCGTTAGTGACGTCCCGCGCTATCCCCGCGTAGAAATTTAATGATCACGAACGTTCTATATTAATTGCATTGAACGGCTGCAATCGTAGAGCGTGTCGCGAGACGAAGTGAAACGTGTGGTCTCGTCCTGTTAGAAAATGAAAAGGACGAGGCTTCTCTTTCGTCCATGTTTATACTTTCTTCGGCTAATGCGAGAGATATCGCATACGATATCCCTCGTTTCTATAGAGCGACAATCGGGCCTCCCAACATACGTTTGTTCATGTAATAAAATAGATTTTACAAGATGATCGTCGACAATGATGATTAGATGCACGACGGAGATTTCGTGGAATGTATTTGAGTATCTTAATTCTTCGTCTGCAATTATATTTTTTATCCTCCGTAATTTGGATCCTTTCTTGTCCAGTCCAAGTTTTTTTTACTGTTCTAAGCTTTCAAAAAATGTGGAAAAATTCGAGGTTACTTTTTAACATCTCTGTGTTACATTATTAAATATATTGTTAAATTTATAATATTAAATTGTAAATTTGATTTATTCTTAATTACTTCTATAGGTCGTCATTGTTTTTAATACGTTATTAATTTAATTAAAACAATGAAGTTAAACGTTTTAAGAAGATATACTTAATTCACAAATATATATTAAATTTAATTCAAATTTAGTTTCTTACTAAATGCATACGTTAGTATTGACATTGTTTACTTTAAAACTAATTGCGAATCGATTTATATTTTGACACACATATGGAAGTAAAAAATAACAAAATGTTGTTTAACTTAAGGGATTGGATTACCATTGCTCTCTTTTAATATCTAACAGTGTAAATATTATACAAGTGGATATTATTTATGAGGGAAATCTGCTGGACTCCTTTATTTCATAGGAATTTGAGAGTGAAATTTTGTTTGTGTGTCAAAAGAGATCTAGATTATAGAGAATTAGAGATTACAGAGATCTAGATTACAAAGGATTAAGTAAATATGTTGGTAGAAAATATTGTATTTTCCTAGTACGATAAAAAGAAATTACTTATATACATAAAAGGGCACAAAATTGATGAAAATCTTCTTAGCGCAGCTGAATAAGCAAATTGTCGGTGTTCCGTCAACAAATTCGTCGTTTTTTATTTTTTATTTTCACGAAACGCCATAAAATAAGTTTCGTGTGTTCACGCCGCGCCGGTGCGAGTTGGCATACGTGTAACGAGATATCTCACGGCACAGCCAACACACTATGAAGCGATCTCGTTTATGAAACCGCCCGTTTCAACACGCGCCGGACAAAATGGACAGGGAACTTCGCCACGTTTCAGAAACTCCGACCGCAGCAATTTACCTCGATCAAATACGTCGCGAATCGCCGTGGATAATCGCAGGCAATCTCGCGCAATCTTCGTGGTCGCGTT